AATAATAATAATAATAATAATTATTATTATTATTATTATTTAATATTTATATTGCGCAAATTAACAGGTGGATATGATCAAATGCGCATCACAACACTTTTCGGGGGACGTTAACTCGACTGCATCAGCAGTTTACAAACAATCGAAGGAAACTTATTTGAAGATGCCCCCTCCCCCCGAATTCCCAGTAAACAGGCCTGACCACATCACAGTAATCTCATGAGTGGGTTCTTTAACGTCCCCTGCCTGACCAAATAAACTAATTAATAGATGCAGGAGACGGGACCTACAGTTTATTCATCCTTATCCGAGAAGACTAGAATGTCTACCCATTTCTTGTGATATTATAGAAAGGTAGCGCATTCTCCTCAGTTATTTTAAGACCTTGAGTGTTGGTCTGGCTGGGAGATTTTATAAAACTGGGCCAAATAAAATAGTGAAAAACATAATAATTAAATGCAGGATGGTGTCATCGTTTTCAATTTGGACTGGAGACGATTTAGTGGTGTATATTGTCAATTTGCTTGAGTTCATTAATATTCTCCCTTTGCCCACTGAATTAATGATCAAAATTCAATTGTATTTTTCCTAGTACCTGCTGAATGGGATAGATAGAAAATAAGGAATGCATCCTGTGAAGTTCACGTTCTTCTTGATTAGCAGTGTCCAACTCGTCGGGTGGTGTGCGTTCCAGAAGGGACGGCAAAAGAGGATCAGGATTACAAGATTGCAAGTCAAATATGCTGTGGAAAGAAACATATTTGCATGACTTTTTTAGTTGGATTGTTTGTTTTCTTGATTGCTTGCTTTTTGTTGCTTGTAAGCAATTTAAAATTAAGCAGAGATTAAGACCAAACCAAAGTACTAAGAGCTTCATGCTCTGTTCTTTAAGGGGATGTGTGTTGGTTGTTTTGGTTAGACTAAGGAGAAGAGCCACAGCGTTGAATAATATTTGATTTTATGCACCTCAAGCACAGCACCTCTTCCAGGGAAAGCACTTATCTGAGGGTGCCCCTCATTCAAAGGTTAGATCCAAGGAAGAAAAAGGTTCTTTTTTAATTCAACAGTATGGCTTTTACCAGTAATTTTTCAATCTGTATGAAAATTGTACATAAACACTACAGAGGCATCTTTTATTTTGATTGTCACTATTTATCTCTTCTGTCACCAAATGATCCAGTTAGTTCCTTTTGGAATTCAACACTGCATTCCCATGTTATGCTGTAGTTGAGGTGTGGTGCCATGAAAGATGGCAAACACATAGGTTCCATGCAGCCATTCCCAAAATTCTAATAAAATTAATTCATTTTTTTAACGACATTTTACTCAGCACCACTATATTGCCATATTGCCTGGCTTTAAGTCTTTAGAGACAAAGTTCAAAACACTTAAATGAAAATGGTCAAACAAACTCACCTTGATGCCCAGCTACCACGAGGTAGCTCATCCAGTCCTTTGCCAGACTGCTGCGCCACTTTCTGCTGTGCTTCACTCTTTCCCTGATACAAGAGAAACACAATTGCAGATCATTAATTCAACACCTCCCTGCATCCACCTGCTCTCCCCTCCCCCCTCCTCTTAGCAAAACTAACTTTGTACAACGGAAAGCACTTAGGATAATCTTCCCCCATCTTGACTATGGATCTGGCCTTAATGAGGCTCGGCTGCAACCCCTCCTGGTTTGCAGAGCTGAACTGTGTTCCAGGTTCATGATTGGGCGAGGAGGACTGAACATATAAGTTTCCTCTATCCTCGCGCCACAGAAGTCCATCATGGTTATTCTTTGTGAACTGGAAATGCTCGATTAGATTGGTTTAAGGGGGGCCACAGACAGACTTAATAATTTTGTTACTGTTTGTTATCAATAAGATGTATATTTAATGTAGTACCTATATAATACTGACCCATACTGTAATTCAGCCTTAGCTGCGAGAGTATGGAATTAAACCATCATCATCATCATCGTCATCATATTAACACCATGTACTCTTTCTTCATTACCTGGTCTGCAAGTTTTCCTTTCTCATCAATTTCATAAAGCTGGGAAGGAAGTGTTCTCACAAAGCTGGATGTCCGTGCTATTTTACGCCTAGAATCTGGTCTTCCTTCATCAGAACAACGGAACTGATACCTGTTTTAAAAAGAACACTGAGTTTCACCTTGAAAAGAATAATGTACCGGTAATTTCTTTCATTGTGGAAGAATAGGAACTTTTTACTGTGCAAATACATGCTTGACAGTCACTAAACAGGGATTCTGGCATTATGCGCTGATGTGGACCCGCATAATCGGCCATTCTCCACATAATCCCGCATAATTTGTCACATAAATCAACATATATGTTACCTATCTTGGTGTCTGGCTTGAGTATTGTATTTATCCCTTTTCTACAGTTGTACAAAATACCAAAGTACCATAGCTTTTAATTTAACAAAACAACCACATGGATACGAAGCCATTTTGTTTTCATAAAAACGACAAGGCGTTAATAAAAATGTCAGATGAGGGCCTGGAACCGATACGAAGCTCAGCCAGGTTCCAGCGTTTGGCGGTTTCCAAGATGGTGGATTTCACAAGAACTGCTTTCTGTTTTGGCCATATTATTGCTTTTATTGGAAGGAGTCATTTATCAATAAAGCGTAATATGCCATTTGTTATAAAAAGAACAATAACTGAGTTTTCTAAGGGAAATTAGTTATATTTTAGGTTTTAAGCGATGATGTCATCCCGCATAATTTAGGGCATAATCTTCCCACATAATCTTCTGTAAAAATCCCGCATAATTTTGATTTGTTTTGCACATAATGCCAGAATCCCTCACTAAAGGTAGCCAACTATCCACAGACTAGTAGAAATTCAGTTTTGGCTGGTGGTTTTTTATTTCCACTAGCCAGTTTGGCTGGTAAACAAACTGAAATTGTCATAGCATCTAAGTTGTCACTATAACCACTTGGCTAGTAAGTTGAAAAGTTAGTGTTGAGCCCTGCATTATTGTCAGCTGGGTCACTTCAAATATTTACACATTCTAGAAAATTAATACTCTTGACTGCCTAATTCCATGACATAACAGTGCAAGAAATCTCCTTTTCTTTTCAACTCACGTCTCCCGATTTCCTGAACAAATGTTCAACAGAATGAATACACCCCTTTGTCAATGCAAAGGACAAAGAGCTAACACTCGAAACGTCAGCTTTTTAACTCTTTACAGTGGCCAATTTACAATTTCAACTTAGTTAGTTGATATAACCAAATTGCTCAAAATGGTTGGCAATGTGGAATATTTTCCCTTTGTATTTGTGCCACTTCAGTTATTTTCTAGTAATGATTTAAGTGAGAAAGTAGCAGACTGATTGATGATTAACAACTCGAAAAATACCCCAAGAAAACAAACACAAAATAGCATAGCAAGTGGAGAAAATGATAACGAATACAACCCTTTTGTTTAACTCCGATGAGTGAGAAAACAGAATGAATTTCCTCTTTACAATATCAATTCAATATCAAGCTGACAGGTAATCAGAATGTAGAAAAATATCAATTAGAAGATTATTAGTCGATCAAATACCAAATTCTCTGTACTAACCACACAAGAATTGTATGACAGACTGTAAGGAGAATTATTGAGATTCATTTTATAGACGTATGTGTAAGGAGTAGAATGATGTAAATATCATGTCACACTTAGTTGAAAATTATATATTGAACTATTAGACTTGTTTCAAAAGAAACAGTTTACACACAGCCAACCTTCGATTAACTATTGCCCAATCTGAAGTGTAACAATGAATGCAGTCTTTCAGTAGTGGGTTGTTCTCAGTTCTGCGGAGTAAATAGAGAGAAGTTGTTGAAAGTGATAGAATATCTGAGATAAAAATTGTAAATTTTAGTATTCAGTTATATTTCAGATCATCAGTCAGTTTACAGGGTTCTCATTAAGTGCCAGCCGCTAGCTCAAGAACCAGCTACTTCGATTTCTGAGCTGCCTACTTTTCGTGAAAATTAATAATCTATGTGTAAGTTGTAAAGTTGTAGGAAAAAACAATTGGTGTCAACTATCTATTTCATGAAGCAAACCATCTACTCCCTAAATTAAGGAGAACCCTGATTTTATAACCTACATTAATATTAGTAAAGACCACACAAGTGAATAGTGCTGTTTTACATGCACTGATTGGCTAGTTGAGAAGTGAATAGCAAGTACTATTCACCTCTAAGCACTCTGACAAGCACTCTTGTCAAGCATTTTAATTACACATGAGCCCCGTTGCTCAGAAGATTGGTCAACCACTTCCCACTTCATCAACAATCAATAAATTATTACTTATTACATTACCAGCTACAAGCAGAAGAAACTGAGATTAGCGTTGGCCCTGTAGATCCAAGGGCTCAAAAGAACCTCTAGCACCTACTCCACCCAGGAATACAAATGGGTACAGTTATTATTGGGGGGGGGGGGCAGCCTTGCAATTGAGTGGCATCCCATCCAGGGAGGGGAGAGGCAATACTACTAGTCACTTCATGCTAAGGAAACCTAGAAAAGCTCTTGCTGAATTGGGTCACTTGGCTCAAACAGACTTATTAGTAAAGTCTGTTTACGAGCCTACTGGCCCATTAGGCCGGTGCTTAACTCCGGTTTCTGTAGCATGAAGCGACTAGGAGTATTTCTACTCTCCCCTGGTTGGGATGCCAGTCCATCGCAGGGTTACCCCCCAGCATTAAATTTGCCAGTACCCATTTATACACCTGGGTGAAGAGAGGCATTGTGAGAGTAAAGTGTCTTGCCTAAGAACACAACACAATGTACCAACCGGGGCTAAGCTACTTTATACATGTAAAAAAATAACATTACCCAGTATCCTTGGGAAACCATGGCTTGACAGTACGACATTGTCTAGGAATCGTGGTGACTTCTATGTCATCATCAGGGAACTCCAGCATCTTACTCTTTGGGTCATTCTCATTGAAAGGCTGATTTTGCAACAAAATCTCTTCAAAGTCAGGAGGTTCCACAACTTCATTAAGGGGAATCTGGAATAAGATTAAGTGATGGGATGTTTTTAAGGCTCAACAAAGGATTAGAGGTATTAGCCTCTAAGAGACCAGAGCCAAGACTGTTTGCCCCACCCCCCTAGGGTGGTGTCTGTCTGGTATATTACAACCGTTCAGTCACTGATAACAGTACAGTTTTATTCATCTGGCAATCCAAAAAGGCTACGTCAGTGATTAAGGATGTATACTGGCGGTCCTAATATGTTCTGGAAGCTTGGAGATGACTGAGGAAGTCATAGAACAACTCTACTGCAACTTAACAAGCTTTAATCTCCAAACTTCCCCTGACAAAAACGGTAATTTGAATCAGTTGTTGAGCCAATTTAAATCCCATATGAAGAGCGATTTGAGATTAGCAATGGCTTATTGCATCAGCACTAAATAAAATTCGAAGATCAAGAAAATCTATACATCCTGTCACATTACAACGACATTACATCTAGTTGATTAATCACAGATGGAAAAAAAGAGAAATCGTAAACATCACAGATTTTAGCCTTAAACGCAGCTTTCCGTGACCATTTCAGCTAACAGCGAATAGATTCGTTTTTTCCCTCTTCTTTCCAAAATTCACCATCGGAATTTCTTTAAACGGATTAAAAATAATTGGCTAGATCGAAGTACTCAGTTTCCTTCACATGACAAGCACGTTATTCTGATGCCCCTAGGCCTAACACCGTATTTAGGAGCTCCTTGGACAATCATGACGCTTTAGCTATAGTGATCTATAAATTATAAAAGGATCAAGAGTATAATTCGTGCAGTTAACATACCGTTCCGGCCGCAAGATGAATGAAGGAACTCGAAGTAGAGGATTGTGACCTTGTACTCGATTGTGTGCTGAAAGTCGCCGATCCATTACGCCGAAATCTGCAATCAAATAAGAACACGTATCACATCAAAATACACAAATTACGCTATTATAGTCAAAGTTAAATAACCTACTTGTTTAGTTTTTGTGCAAACGCTCTCGTCGTCGAGCCGGTAGACGAGGATTGACTGCCGTAGGCAGCCATTTTCGACACCTTGAGCTTAAGTCGCTCCCAGATCTCCGAGCGAGAAAAAATATCTCGTCCTTCTTTGGCATTTTAGTTTCAGTTCAGTTTCCAATCTCGATCGTTCATGAAATCTTATAGGGAAATCTTTCGCTATGTCTTCTGGCTGTGTTCACTACATCAGACGCTGTTCTTTATTGGTGAGTTAACCTGTTCCTGTTGGCTTTAAGTAGAAATTTTCCATGGGTAATCTGGTTCTCTCTGCACTTCATCAGTCAATTTTTACTCCACTTTCAGTGAGACCGAACAACCATGCGCGTCACCCGGTTAACCGATATTGTTAATTAATAAACTTTTCATTTCTTAGCTTCATCTCGTCGTATAATTTACCAAACATCGATTGCACACTGCAGAACATCGATTCCTTTAACACAACGTAACATCTGTAACATCCGACGCCGTTTGTGCGACGGGTATTGAATTATTCTGAAGCTCACGATTTCAACAAATACAGGAACAGTATAGTTAATTTTTAATCTATGATATTGGAAAAAAAAAAACACGGAAAAGTAGTAAGGAAGTAAGTAAGTAAGTAAGGGGGTTTAATTAGTAACAGTGTTTCCACAAGAGTAGCTCTTTATCTGTCACTAACTAAATACATTATTATATAGGATCAACTTAAACCTATTTAATATTTACAATCATAAAGTTTAAAATAGCAAAACATTCTAGACTGTATACACTTAAAACTTAGACTCATTTAAAATTACGAAAGGCGTGCCTTCGCCCGGTTATTTTGAAGTATTTAAATAAACGCGATGTAAAAGTATGCAAGTCGTCACTGGTTTTCAGTTCCTTGGATAGATTATTAAATAAAACGGCCGAGGTGTCAAAATGAAAGGTCCCCTTTTCTAAAGGAACCTGTAGCCTAATGCAGTCTGTCGTCTAATACAGTCTGAAAAGATGAACATGCCAAATTCTCGTAGCAAAATCTCAGGATTGTTATCATTGTTTACCTATATACTTTGTATGTAGCTTGCACTTAATAATTTTCGCCACTTGCTATGCTATTTTTTGTTTGTTTTTTCATGATATTTTTGAAGTTGTCAATCATCGCTCAGTCTGTTATTTTTTCACTTAAATCTTAATTAGATAATAATTGAAGTGGCACAAATACAAGGGAAACATAATCCACATTTCCAACCATTTTGAGCAATGTTGCATTGTAGCACAATTATTTCAAAACAAAGAAGTTTTGGCAATTTGCGTGACTTGAAATGTTATCTTGGTGACACCAAAGCTCTTCAGAAATACTCTTAACATCAGTATGTATATTCTCCACACTGTTCTCTATACTTTTCCCAAGGTGCTGGCAAGGAGAACTTGTTGTACAATAAGAACCTCAGTCTGTAGTTAGACTGATCATTTCTTTTAGTATTCTCATGGCCATATGTTTGATGCTACATGTAGGTTCACTTGTTTGGGAAGGTTGTCATTGATATTATCCGAAATATGCTGACTAGGTGTGTTGTATGAGGAATGTATGAAGTGCGATACCCTATTGCAAATTTTGCACGTTGCCATATCCTTCTACAACACACTTAGTCGACATATTTTTGGACAATATAGACTACAACCTTCCCAAACAAGTGAAAATGTGTGAAATGCAGACTTTCGTTGTTCTCAATTTGACGTCACATTACCCGCTAGAGCCATTCCTCTTTGAACTTGGTCGTGGTGCAAGATGGTGGCCAATTTTCCGTATTTTGACTGGCCACAGAAAATTGAAGATTTGAGCAAATAAAAAAATTTTTGCACAGAAATACTCCAAAAATATGCTTATTTTGTTAAGCAAAAAAAATTTTGGAGTTTAGGTGCACTTTAAGACAAACAAACTGGCATACTTCAACATTTTAGGCCAATGTAAAAACATTTTTCTTTAATTTTAATTGTTAATACACGAGTGTAGAGGTATTCACATGGGAAAGTGAAGTTATAGACCATATCTTTTTCAAAACGATTTGCAAATGTTTTTGTTTCAGAATTAAAAGTCACTTTCTTAATTTAATCAGTTTTTTTCTTCCTTATTGATATTCATATTCTCAATTATTTGGACTATTTCATCTAGTCCCAACAAGTCTGGATAATTGAGGTTTGACTGTAAACTTTAAGGAGTTTCTGATTTCATTTTAGAGTTACAGGCACCTACACATGTACTAGTCTTGGTACTAGCATTGTTATGGTATCATGCTGCATCAAAAAAAAAACCCTTAATTGATTTTGTGATGAGTGGTATTTTTGAGAGAATCATGAATGTAACAATTTTTGTTGTATTTGTCCATCACGTATAAGTTGTTTGAAAACAATTACAGAACATTCTTATTATTTGTTTCAGACTTAAAGGAAACTTCCACTCTTCTTAATTAACAAATAGTGCTCAAAATGTTCTTAATGCACTCCTCAATAGAATGATATGACATTAAACAATTGTCTTACCAAGGGATCTGATTTTTTATCATTTTTCAAAGAAGGTTCTAGCAGCCATCTTGGAATTTCCCATCACCACCATCTTGAATAATGCACAATGCACTCTGGGCTGATGTTGTGTAATGGTTACTTGGTGCACTCGTAGTGTAGTTTTTCACTCTTGTTGATGCTATATTGCTGTTGTGTGATGAAAATTTCAGTGAATATGTCACAGATCTTCCTCAAGAAGTGTTTCAATTGGCAGTCGACATTTTCAGAATTAAACTTGTTTGCTTCTTAATATTCTTCATCTTCTACTTCTCTCACTTTCCTGTTTCTCTTCACTTGAATAATGCTCCAGCTCCAACTGACGTGGGTGATCCTTTATCCTTACTTAAACCACTCTCATTGCCAGTAAAATAATAAAATATTATTAGCTAGTAAGAATTGTGAGTTACATGCATTGCTTTGTTTGCGTTCACAGGCTCCTTGCTGTAAAAAATACTACAACTGCAGGTTGTGTCATAATGATAAAGAAGATCATGAACTCGACAGAAGTACTGTGGAAGCTCTTAAGTGCCTTCAGTGTGATTCTTCCCAAGAGGTAACATATTCTACTAATTCAAAAAAATTAATTTTGGTAGTCTCTGTGAAGTGATCTAAGCTCAATTCTTTTTTGAAGTTGCCATTTAGTAACCTAAAGTTATAAAATGGTCTTGAGAAATCAAATTTTGATCACACAATTATTGTACCTCGTCACTTGTATGTAGTACCAGTGGTGCATCTAGGATAGGGGCCTGGTGTGCCCTAAGGCCCCTTCTCATTTTAGGGGGGAAAAAGCCTCAGAAAGGAGAAAAACTGGTAGGACTGTATATTACACACAAAATAAAAATACCCCAACACCCTACCCCCTATAGCTCAAAGTCTTTTTCCTTCAATCAGTTACGAAGAAAAGGGGAAAGAATTTTACAATAAGTGTCATAAAAAAATTTTATTTCTTTGAGCTTGCCACATGACCACAGAATTTATGTTGCCAACTTGAAAAATGTTGGGATCAAAATGTTGCTATGGGATCTTTTTATTTGAGGAATCATAATTCTAATGTTAACCAATAGACCACATGTACATGTACAAACTGTCTTTCCTTTGCTTCAACTCTGAGATAGACTCACTGACTGATTTATTATTCTCACCAAAGGTCAATTCCCATTGTAAAAACTGTGGAATAAAATTTGGACGATACTATTGCGAGATCTGTCGCTTGTTTGATGATACAGAGAAGGGGCAGTTTCATTGCAGTGGTTGTGGAATTTGCAGGTACAACTAGTATTAATAGTATTATTTTTGAAGAGATAACTAGTGAGTTATTGATTGAAGGAAATTAAAGTAATTGCTTCTGTAGACAAGCAAGATTCTATTTATCTCCACCATTGAAAAGGATATCTAAAACTTTTAATTTGTACCATGTAGCTTCTCTGAGTTGCAAAAAAAAAAATGTATTCTTACTATAATTGCTTTTATTACAGAACTATTTACATGGGGACTCTATAACCCAATAAAGCATCCACTTGGAAACTGAATTCATCAATCAGATGATGCATACTATGCTCATTATGCTATGATATTATGATGTATAGCAGATAAATATAGATACATGACTGTGTACATGTGACTGACTTCAGAAATCTTCACATGATAGGGTAGGTGGGGTAGAGAACTTCTTCCACTGTGATCGTTGTGACATGTGCCTTGGAATTCAACTGAAGGACTCACATAAGGTGAGTTTACTGTGGCACTCTGTTAACCTTTTGCATCTTAACATCTGTATGCAAATTCTCCACACTATACTCTAGACATTCTACTGTGTGGATCATAAAAGGAGAATTTGTTGAACAATTTAGAGCTTGTTGAGTTTACAATCATTTTTCTTTATTCTTGGAATTGTATTGTTTGATTCAGGGGTGACACAGTGTTGGGAGAAAATAGATGCTGACAGGGCTAAACACTAACATTTCAACTTACGGGCCGGAGGTATTAGCCAAGTCGCTAGTTACATCTTAGATGTTGTGACAATTTCAGTTAATTGTTTACTAGCCAAACTGGTCAGTGGAAATCGAAAACCACTAGCCAAAACTGAATTTCTACCAGTCTGTGGCTAGTGGGCTACCGTTAGTTTCGAGCCCTGGCTTATCTCTTTTAGGAGTTAAACAATAGTGAATATATAGTCAACAAAAAACACTGATCATGGAAATGTTCCATTTAACTCCCAAGATCTGACTTTCAATTCTCCCTTCTAGCTGCTACACGATTCCTTTAGTTATAAACTAGTTATGAGATTTTGATGTTAGTTTAAAATAACAAATTTTTCTTTTGTTATATAGAAGTTTTAGTATTCTCATTACTTGTTGCTGGATAATGTACAGGATGTATAGATATTTTAGGGAGAAATTACTTGTTGATCACTTCAGGAAGTTTAAGGGTTAAACAAGGTTTAAAACAGCTGTTACAGTTATCAAATTGAATCAAAACCTCTCTTCTATAAAATTGTCCATTAATTACATGTAATTTAAAAGTATCTGTATTCCAGACAAAGGAAATTTTTTTTCTTGTGTTAAAACTGCTTTCTCGCTATCTTGAGTGCTAATCAGATTTGTTTATTTCTACAACATAACTTCTGAATTAGCAATAAAAAATTGACTTAAAAAAATTGGCTGAAAATTTGAATTTAACACAAGCTGCTTTCAATACAGTGTACAGTAGCTGTATGCTACGTATAAAAGTTAAATATGACATTTTTTTATGTCCATTCTCTTATATCCTATTACTAACATGTAAAAATGCAACAAGCTCTCTCTTGATTGCTGCTGATTAAGTAATTGCTAAAAGTATTGATTTGGCCAATTTGACATTCTTGAGAAATTTAACAGTATCTGACTGTGCGATTACATAATGGGACAATTTCTGGTCATGCGTTGTTTACATAACATGAATTGTCACGTGCAGTATTTTTCCCGCCGTTTTGCTGTATGTATTACTTTGGTCCTAAATAAATGGTTGAGTTAAACAACACAACACTTAACAAGAAAATTGAAAACTGCATCATTATTTTTTTGTGTTAACTTGATCTAACAATCGGCTTGACTTTTTTTTTCGTTGTTTCAGTGCGTTGAAAAGAGTTCTCGGTCCGATTGTCCCATTTGCTATGAGGTGAGAAAATTAATAAATTAAATCAAATGATTGTGTATTGTTGTAGAGAATTGTCTAAAAATGACTTATTCACAGGTACAAACAGCATTGTTGATGTTGTGATCTGCAATTTGTTAATAGGAAAATCAGTCATCTTTTAAAAATTAGCTTGCTTAGCAGAGATATCTTCTGGTGATTGAGTCAGTGCTAAATAAAAATCTCAAGGGTACATGGGTTTGTTTTCTTTCTCAACCATCCCTCTCTTCTCAATAGTTCTTCGTTCTCACCAACACCTCTCATGTAAAATCGTTTAGATGCTCCAGCTTTTAGCCTTACCAATCCAGCACAAGTATTACATGTACACCTGTACAGTGTAGTCTCAGCTCTATGCAATCTTTTTTTCCTTATGGAGATCAAAGCTGAAAATCCTAAGCAGGCAAGATCAGGCCCCATCTTATCTGCTCGGGTGGCCAACCAGACTACAGGAGTTGCTTCATCTTGCCCACAAACTCTTGATCAGAATGTTCTTAAATTGCTGAGCAGAAAGTAGGCTTTTTATGCACTGCCAGACTGTTTAACTTGAAATGCAGCTGACCTTTTGAGCATTGGCCCTGCGTCAACAAAAGATGCTCTGACAAAGGGCTGACTCTTGAAATGTTGGCCAATTTACATTTAATATCTAATCAGTTGATAAAACCAAACTATTGAGTTATACCCCACAGGACACAACATCACAGTTTCTTTGGAAACTCACTCCCTTTATTTATTTAGAACATTTAATTTAATGTCTCAATCACTCATTACAATAATTTCTTTTTTATCAGGATATTCACACCTCAAGAATACCATCTCATGTACCCCCGTGTGGGCATCTACTTCACAGGTAGGATTCTCCCTTGCCTTCAAATTCTTGTTTGTTGCCAGAACTGTTGTAGGTGCACAATCATCAAAGGAAAAATTTATTATTCAAAGAAGTTCAAGCGATCACATCAAAGGCTTTAGCCTTAAAATCTCACTATTTTTCTTGGTGTAAGTTTGATTTATTTAATAGTATGAGAATCTCAGACTGGAAACAATACATTATACAGTGACAACAAACCTTAATATTTAAATCTTGTGGTGTAATTAGTCCTGGAGAACTCACGTATAACATCTATTAATGAGTGTCAATCAAAAAATTAATGTTCATAATTTGAGAAAATGTCAGTTGGTAACAGACAGGACAATTGTTACTTTGTAGCTCTTGCTTCACCAAGTTGCTGGAGTCAGGGTACGTAGCTTTCTTTTTTTTGTTTGTTTTGTTTGGTCTTGTCTTTCCTGGAGTGTAACCAGGTGGAATGGGATAAAGGAGTAGAGATGGTATTGCCTTGATAGCAATCTCTTTCCAACTCTGTATTGAGGTTTAATGAAAAGAATCCTGGAGATCGCTATACTAATTATGTCAACTGTTATACATTGTAGTCACCATCTGTCTTCTCAACCTACAGATTATTCACTAATCTGTACCTACAGATTAGTGAATAACTTGTAGGTTGTGTGCACAATGCATGATTTCTGGTAGAGCAATGTCAAGTTCACGGACAGTGAAGTAAGAATGGCTTCTCGATTTGCTTCATTGACCCAGCAAGAAATTGAGAAATTACTTCAAGATAAAGATTCAGAAAATACTAAAAGATCTACAGTTCTCTTCAGTGATACTTTCTTTAGAAATGCATTTAACTTTTCTGCACTTGATTGTTTTATAAAAACAGTGAAAATTTGTTTACCACACAGTAGTACATTTTTAAGTGTTCGTAAATAAACTGTGTTCACTGCGATAATGCATTTGGCGGTATTTTCTTTAAAACAATGTAGAATAAAACAGTTATTGGATTCAGTTTTTGTGATATCCGGAAACTAAACAAGTTTTCTGGTGTGAATGGGGTATTAGATCCCCCTGACCGATGCAACATGTGAAATTTGAGTAGAAGCATTTCATGATATTAACAATATCATATATATGGAATGCCATATGCTCTCAGAATCTGCCAAAGACTGCCCCTATGAATGCTGTCAAACGCTTTCTCATAGTCGATTAAATTTACATGCAACTCCCTGTTCCACTCAGTGCATTGTTCAAGTATGTTCCGCAGCGTAAACTTGTGATCCGTACATCCACGCCCCTTGCGAAATCCAGATTGCTCGTTCCGCAGGATGTCATCAACAGCTTGGGTGATGCGCTGTATAATGACCTTGCAAAAGATTTTACGCGGCACAGACAAAAGAGTAATTCCTCGCCAGTTGTTACTATCACTTAGAGACCCTTTCTTTGGGATCTTGATTATCACTCCTCTGCTCCAATCTGTGGGAATTTCTTCCCATTTCCAGATCTTTGTAAACAGAATTGCAAATGATGCCCTTCATCATTAGTAACTCTGTGTGAAAACAGTTGGAAAATGCCGCGCTCAATAGACAAAGAACACGTCTTCATGCCCTAATCAGGGTCGTTAGTAATTCTGTGAGAAAATGCTTGGCAAATGCAGTGTTCGTACGCTTAGGAAAACTGTAGAAAAACGTTCAGGAAAACAAGCTATACACTCGCGTTTTGGTTCATCCTCGGTGTTAAATCCTGTACAGCTCACGAATTACGTAAAACAAAGACAAGAAAACATTAGAAACAATAACGTACAGCAAAACAATACCTCATGATACAAAGAAAACTTTGTCAGGTTTTTACTACGAGGATGACCCCACGTTTTCATGGAGCCGGAAAACAATCGACAAACATCATGTTTTCATCGCATTCACCATAAGTTATTGTGTGAGAAAAAGCTTGGCAAGTGCAGCGTCCATGTGCTCAGGAAAACTATAGAAAGATGTTCAGGAAAACAAGCTATACACTAACGTTCTCCAGTGGAGCAGGAAAACAATCAACAAACATCATCAGCGTTTGTGAATAGGTGAAAGGCATTTATTTAAAGAACGAGTACTTCGCAGTAACGAACACTACTTAAGTTGGCTTGTTAGCCCAGTTGGTACAGCACTGCACCAGTATCGTAAAGGTCATGTGTTCGTATCCTGTACAGGCCTGAATTGTTTTACAGCTCTTATTTTCACTACTGCTTAATAAGAGGCGTTCGTTACCACGAAGATCGCTCTCATAATCGTTCTCTAACCGCAGTTCAAATATATGACTTTCATATATTCGCAAATGTTGATTCATCAATTGACGGGTTTATTACAAACCAACATAATGACCAGCTCCCACTTGGCTTGTGAGCTCAGTTGGTAGAGCACTGCACCCCCCCCCATAGTCATACAGCACCACCCGTGAAAATCTCCTCATAGGTGGTCCCGCAAGCGCATGATCCGCTCCATTGAGAAACGAAGCCTCGAAGTCATTATACCCCGAAATGTAGTCCGAAGAACTGCGATCTTCGGTTTTTAACAATTGACAACCTTCTGCGAAAGAAAAGCGTGCTGTTTTGTTTTTGACTGCCTCAATGGAACTACATGTTTCCCATTTACGAATTATTTTCAACGTTTTCACCATAATTCCCGGAACACTAGAAACAATGGGAAATCAGTAAAACTACCCAAGGTGAAGTTGGATTTTGCGCGCCGTAGTTTTTATTTCTTAGGTGCTTCGCTTTTTAATTCATTGCCATTCTATGTCAAAATTTTGAGTTTTTAAACCCGTGTTGCACAAAAAGTATTCAATGCATCAGGCTCGTATTCATTGGCCGAGTTAATCGTACTTTGACCTTTCGATATTCAGAACTGATTTACTTTTAGCTCCATCAGAAACTGAATTGCTTATGCTAATGAGGCAAATATTGTAAACAAGGACTCCCCTATATATATGCGATATGGAGCGCGCGAAGCGTACCAGGAGCAAATCCAGCTTGTGCTCTCTAATCTTCTCAAGAGCTTCAAATCTCTCTCAACGCCAATTGGCGCTTTAGTCGATTGTTGTGGTACATCTTTAAAATGTTCAACCCGTTAAAGTAATGTTAAAGAAATTTAAACTCTCCCTGCTTCGCTTCCGTTTGTAAACACACGTCCTCTTTGGGTACGGTAATGATAAAAAACACGCATACGCATTTAAATTTATTTTCACCAATCTACTGGTTGTATTGCAATCGTTTTTTAACCAGTTTGATAAAAAGAGTGAGCGAAATTTTGAAACGTTATTATAAGTGCCACGACATTTTTTTTCGTCAGACTATCTTTGTCTTTGTAGTTAGCTGTATCATCTGATAGATTCCAAGCAATCCCACCTTTTTTTTCCATCGCACGAATTAAAAATCAGCAAATAGAAATAAATGCAATCGCATCGTCAAGTGAAAAAAGGAAAAAAACCAAATGTTGGTGCGCCGAGTGGAGTAAGGCGCATGGAAAGGAGGGAACTTACTTTTCGTGAGCATCAATCTCCGAGGTCCGCGCGGCGCGCTAACAATTTTTTTGGTCACTGCCTGCTTGTTTTTTTTTTTATTAACTCGTCCGTCGGACTTCGCCGAGAAGGAGGAACTGCTTGTACTTCAGTTGTCAAGAAATTTGGATGATTTTTCAGTGTTTGATCGTAATACAATTGATCTATAAAATAAGCTAACAATTATTTCAACAAAGTGATAAAATACTTTATACTTCACAACTACTGATCACAATTCCCAATATGTGCAACACTTTCGTTCAATCATTTAAGTTCATCGTCTGGGTCAAGAAATCCCTTTAAAAGATTGTGGTCAGTAAACAATTACTGTAATCAGCAGTCAAACGTCAGAGATTTTAGCCGGCTGCGTACCCGCATTTGTCGAGCAAAATCTTCTAAGGAAACATGAAGAACAGTCCCTGTCACGGGCTAAGGTTAGCGTTGTCAAATTTCTATATAGTGACACCATCAAACGACAACTGTTGGTGCTGAATTGAGTCTTTGGGAGGTAGCCTCCGCCAATTTGTAAGTTTTTTTCCAGTACGAGAAATGAGTATTCGTCCCAAGTTTTTTTATCTTGTCTGTTGTGCCCTCTGAACTTCTTTACAAATACACACAGCTTTTCCTTCTTCTTTTCTGATTTCTTTGTGGGTGTAAGTTTAATCTGCACCATCACAGTTAGAGTGAGAGGTTGAATCACTTGACGAAGGTTTTCCATGCCTTATTAAAGATGAGAAAGACATTCTTCTCTTCATCAGTTACTGCGACCGCCGCTTCTCTAGACACGGTCAGTGTTCCAGCGACCATGTGTATGTTCGCTATCCAGGACTGTGACCGTGTGAGGCCTTGAGCTTTTTCTTAGTAAACAAGTCTTGTAACATTTACAGACGCAGTGGAATCGGCTGTGTCGTCTTTCACGGATACCCATGTGAACCGCTGGTTCAATTTCCCATTGCTTACCGAATCTTAACAGTTTAATTACAGCCTACCAGTATTTTTTGTGTCTATAAAAATACAGAGCAGGATTTACAAGGGAGTTTAGACGGAGTGTAGTGCTAAGACGTAAGCAGCCCCCCAAGGGAACGATAGCAATTAAAATGGCAACTGTTAGCAGAAACGTCGTGAAGGCAATTCTGTTTTCGATCTTTGCTTTAATCAGAGCATTGACTTGGCTGATTTGGCTTCGGTTCCGTTTTCGTATTTCAATGTAAACCATGCAATAAAAGTACACCAGAAAGATAAAGAAAATTAACTGAATAAAGATAAAGATAACACGAACTACCCCACTGACGATACCAGCGGCTTCTAGTGAGTGAAATAAGACCGATGTTGTAAGGGGTATCACCCAAGCGATCACCGCAAATCCCGTTAAGCGTTTCTTTCTAACTATTACTTTGTATCGTGTCCATAATGTTCGCTTAATAAAAGATATTCTATATACAAGTCTAAAAGATTAGGAAAAAAATTATTAAAATGTTTAAACCAAATGTTTTCAGCTGTTTGCCATCATCAGGGTTGAAAATAATGACCGTCTGTACACGATACATATATATATATCTTACGTGATTCCCGATGGGAAAAGTTTGGAGACATAAGAAATAACTTGTTTGTTCAAACTAGCCCCTCGACGATCCTACGCTTGTGGAACGTTTCTGCTGAGGAGAGAACACGCCAAGTGAAAGAATATGATGGATTTTCCCGCAAGTGTTTTGCAGGTTCAGAGGTGTGAGTAGGATTTGAATGCTCCGCGATACGTATTACTAAATTTCTCACAGTTTCGCCAATGTAATCAAGGCCACAAGAACAATCTCCTTTGTAAACAACTTTGGATCTGTGAGTGTTTTTGTCTTTGTTGTTAAAAAGGCTTTTAATTTGCCTTG